TGCTGCAGCTCCGTATTTGATTTGTATACGGCTGACCTTTTTCGTAGCCCTCAAATGTTTGTATAAATGAAGCCATTGAAAAGGGTCATCCGATCAGTCTTGAAAACTTTTTGCCCAAACCCCTAGAAGAGGCAATTAATAAGGCAGTTTCAGTTTCCTCGAAAGAGCTGAATGCCAGTGTTCATTCGTGGTATCGACCCTTTAAGCACCTGAACCGAAAGCCTGCCGAGCCAGTCGCAAGAAGCATTCATACTCTAACTTTGTGGTGCTGCCACCAGTAGATCCCGAAGAACCATGGAGTGAATGATTCCATCCTTTTCGGCTGCTCCGTGCTGTCAGCAAAATATTGTTTTCCTGACGCAATTGGACTCGGTCAGGGAAGTCATGTCTCCTTGTTTTTGAGGCAGTGACGTGTGAGTGCTGGCTCATCTTTACGCTGGGCAGCCCAGGGAGAGCGCAGTGCCACATGCCAGGTTCAGAAGTTGTTTTGTTTTCCTTTCCAAGTTTGGAGATCTCGCGGAAATCATGTGGCACAGTGCAGGGCAAGACATGTTTGTTTTGCTCCGGGTGGCTCAGATAGTTATTGATTGACAAAATGCATTGCACTAGGAACAATTGTCGAGTAAGCATTCAGTGATTTTGGGAAGTGTTTTTCCGTTTGCCCGTTTGCCACGCTTACATAAATGGCGTCGGGGAGTGTGCCGTGACTCCGCAACGGGCAGCGACGCAATTCTCAATCGAGCCAACTCAGGTTGCGTCTGAGAGCCCCTCTCCCTTCGCATCTACTGTAGTTGCCTCACAATTGCGGGGGTTTCACCAAGGGGGCAGTGGAAGCAATCCAGAGTGCGTTGGTTCAACTTCGTTTCTTCGACGTGACAAGATCTTGAAATAAGTCTTATGATTCGACCTCTCCATTACCAGCGCATAGGCACGCTCTCGCATTTATGAATAAATAAAACTATGGAATACAGAAAACGTTGTCAATGCCGAACCTGAGGTTCATCGACCAATATGGAGCAAGTATACCAAGTTCTTTGGCACCAGTCGTTGTTCAAGGAAATTCCCACAGCTACGTCCAGAACACCCTGGACCGAGCCCAATAAGCGTATAAATGGTTCATGTCTTGTGTCCGGGCCACAGCTGAGGAGCACGATAGTAGCCATAGCTACCCCCAGCCGAAGTGGAGGCGCTAAGCGAGCTTCCAGGGCAGCCTGCTTCATCCAGACTTTCCAAGAAAACCCGCTGCAGTGGATCTTTCTGGAGGAGCCGAGGAGAGCTTGGGCGTCAGCAAGGATCATTTTCCTTGAAATGCATTTAATTGAATCTCAAATTCATGTTTGCAGTGTGTCTACATCCTTTCCGAGTATCCTTCAACACAGTCCCTGCCAGCGTTTGCCATCAGCTTGAGTCCCGCATGCTTTGTCACCGACAAGCGAGTCGTAAGCTCAAAGACCGACCGTGACTTCCATGCTATGGTTCTAGTATTTAAAAGGCAGAAGATGTTTGATTTTGATCCAACGAACCACTTTCAAGAATCATTCGTGCTGCAGCTCCGTATTTGATTTGTATACGGCTGACCTTTTTCGTAGCCCTCAAATGTTTGTATAAATGAAGCCATTGAAAAGGGTCATCCGATCAGTCTTGAAAACTTTTTGCCCAAACCCCTAGAAGAGGCAATTAAAAAGGCAGTTTCAGTTTCCTCGAAAGAGCTGAATGCCAGTGTTCATTCGTGGTATCGACCCTTTAAGCACCTGAACCGAAAGCCTGCCGAGCCAGTCGCAAGAAGCATTCATACTCTAACTTTGTGGCGCAGAAAAATATTGTTTTCCTGTCGCAATTGGACTCGGTCAGGGAAGTCATGTCTCCTTGTTTTTGAGGCAGTGACGTGTGAGTGCTGGCTCATCTTTACGCTGGGCAGCCCAGGGAGAGCGCAGTGCCACATGCCAGGTTCAGAAGTTGTTTTGTTTTCCTTTCCAAGTTTGGAGATCTCACGGAAATCATGTGGCACAGTGCAGGGCAAGACATGTGTGTTTTGCTCCATGGTTGTCCGGCTGGCTCAGATAGTTATGGAGTTGACATGGGCATCATTGACAAAATGCATTGCACTAGGAACAAATGTCGAGTAAGCGTTCAGTGATTTTGGGAAGTGTTTTTCCGTGTGCCCGTTTGCCACGCTGACATAAATGGCGTCGGGAGAGTGTACCGTGACTCTGCAACGGGCAGCGACGCAATTCACAATCGAGCCAACTCAGGTTGCGTCTCAGAGCCCCCCTGCGCGGCAGCTTTTGCAGGGATCTCCATTCGCATCTACTGTAGTTGCCTCACAGACTCCGCCGCCCTCTTTGTCGTCTCCGAGCCCTAGCCCACCCACGCAGCCTGGGACATCCCTATCTTCGTCGCATTGGGGGTTCACCATCAAAAAGGCAAACAATCCCAGCCACAGCCAGGCAGTGGAACCAATCCAGAGTGCGTTGGATCAACTTCGTCTCTTCGACGTGACAAGATCTTGAAATAAGTTTTATGATTCGACCTCTCCATTGCCAGCGCATAGGCATGCTCTCGCATTTATGAATAAATAAAGCTATGGAATATAGAAAACTTTGTCAATGCCGAACCTGAGGTTCATCGACCGATATGGAGCAAGTATACCAAGTTCTTTGGCGCCAGTCATTGTTGAAGGACATTCCCACCGTTGATGACCTTTACAGCTACGTCCAGAACACCCTGGACCGAGCCTACTCATCTGAGGACAGGAATCACAGGGAGCTATCGGCGGATCCCGATACTGGCCTGTGCCCATCTCCCTTTCTATGTTCTTTCGAGTCAATAAGCATATAATAGCGTACAAATGGTTCATGTCTTGTGTCCGGGCCACAGCTGAGGAGCACGATAGTAGCCGCAGCTACCCCCAGCCATTCTACAAAGCAGCTCAGAGACTGTGCCTCAAGAATGGCTGGCATCTGGGCTCCTTCCTCCTGAGTATGTACAACAATTTGGCCTTTTGCGAGCACAGATCCACAAGGCTGACGCCCGAGGTTGGCAGAGCAGAGCGTCACGTTGAGGAGTCGCCCATTTATGAACACGTCGCCAAGGGCAAGCAGACGGACTATGAAAGCCAGTGGCCCAAGAGGGGAATTACTGCACGAAAACTGAAGCGACCAGAGGTCGCGCAAGCTGTCTTTGACATTATGGAGGAACGTGGAGAACCTGCCACTTTCGATACCATCCGGGAGAGTGTGGAACAGGCATTGGAGCTCAAGGAGGGTGAGCTCAAGAAGCACCAGGCATTGATCGAGGCCATTGTCACCAGCCATAACCAACAAGCCTTGCAGGACATGGTGGAGCATTGCGTCGAAGCCAGAAGAGGACAAAGGCGATGCAACTGTGCTTGATATGACCGACGACCAATTCCTCGCATCCTTCCAAGCATTCCACAACTGGTCTTCACACGGCCTTGCAACCGACAGGGAGGCGGTCTTGGAGACTTGGGGTAAGTACAAGGCAGCTGCAAAGAAACGCGAAGTCCCTGCAGTTGTGGCAGCAGACTATGTCCATGAAATCTTCCCAGGCATCATGGTTCTGTTGGGGAGTGCAGCATCTTCGAGAAAGACTTCAAACAATGCTTTCGCGGCCCATATGATTCAGCAGAGCCAAAAGCCTCAAAGAAGCCTACTTGGTTGAGGCAACTTTGAAAGGCTGCCGCACTAGCATATTGAACAGTGGAGCCTTTGCTTGCGCGACCGATGAGGTCAGCAATACCCTGCCCACACCTTGGTCAGATCATTCCGCCGGAATAAACTTTTTGAGTAAATCCAAACTCAATACGTTTAGTCAAGCAGAACACGACAGTGTTGTCACAGCAGCTGGCCGCATTTGCCTGAACTCCTACAAAACAATGATCAAATTGTCGGGTCAGCTGGAGGCCACAGAATGGGTGCTGCGTCCCAATCCAAACGGATTTCCCAAAAGGCCAGGTCTCAGCGATTTTCTTTTGGATGTTTTGCTTGCCCTTGTCTTCTCACTGTTTTCTCACTGTGTTGTAGCAACCCTGTCCTGTTAAGCACCTCCCATTTGCGGTGTTGAGTTTCCATGGAGTGATTGCAGCCTGCAGGTGCTCGGTCTCGTGGTCACCTGATCGGAATCCAGTAGATCCAGACGTAGGCACTGGCATGTCGACCGGCTTCGTCGCTCAATTGCATGACTTTGTCCTTGGGAATGCCGGACAACGACCTTCGCGGTGTGGGCCAGACGAGTATGCAGTGGCTCGAACCAATAGACATGTTTTGGCCCCAATATGTTGCATGTGGACACTAATAACGAATATAAGTATAACCACCACAATTCCACCGGCAAAGCTTTTCGACGCCAGAACGGTAACCACCACAATTCCACCGGCAAAGCTTTTCGACACCAGAACGGGCCCATTATGTGCACTATGCTTCTTGACCAACCAACCATCCAGGCCAGCGTTCTGCAGACCGTGCGCAAGGCAGTGCATGACTGGCTTGATGAGCGCCAGGTGGATTCGAGCCTAGCTGACAAGCTAGGCTTCTGCGGAACAGACCTTCTACGCTTCTCACAGGTCAACATGAGGATTTCTCAGTTTTGCGAGCAGCTGTCGGGATTGCCCCGCATGAACATTTGCGGCCCACGCACAACCACTTTGAGACCCATAGCTGCAAGTAGAATTAAGTAACTATGTCACAAGTATGGCCAGTTCTCCACATTTTCGCCTGCAAAGCATTTAGTAAATTGCTCTCCCAATCCCTCCCCGGCAAAGACGCTGTAGAACAGCATCTCGCGCCGCGCGCGCGTGCGCGCGCCAAAAAGCACCAAGAAACAATTCCTTTTGGCGCGCGCGCGGCGCAGGGATGGGGATGAGAAGCCGCAGAACCAACGCCATGCCCTGGAATAATAAAACCGCCCGTGTGTATAATAATAGCTTTGCGTCTCCGTCAAGTGTCGGCTGGCTTGTGTAGGTTGGTTCACTTGACCTGAGGATGGCAGCCGCCTTTTGGCAGTGGGAGAGACAAATCTTTCTCATCTGTGGCTACCTGCGATACATCAAGCATTTGGAGCGGAACGTTTCTGTGAGTGACCGAGATCGATCTCTTTGCGGATTGGCAGTCCAAATGCTCAATGCAGAAGGGCCGGTGAACCAGAAGCAGCAGGCCTTGAAGTCCCCTGAGGATAAGCTCTAAATAATTTGATGTCCTGTCTTCCCCATCGGCTCGGGGCGACTTCACTTCTGTTGCTTGGTTGCATTTTGCGATTGATTTCGAACACTTCTATGGAATCTAGGCCCTCAAGTGCCGTTTGTCACACTTGCAACGCAAGGCAAAAATCCGGGAAGATCTGCGGCACAAGTATCGGAAAGCAGAGAACTTCAAGCAAGAGTTGGTCAAGGTCCTTGACATGCTTGTTGAGGGGGGTTTGCTGATTTGCACGCAAGATCCAAGAAAAGAAGCGCCCAAGACGAAGCGCAGAAAGCGCAAGCAGGATGAGGCAGCCGAAGTGGAGGCGCCAAGCGAGCTTCCAGGCCAGCCTGCTTCTTCCAGACATGCGCTGCATTTGCGGAAACCCGCTGCAGTGGATCTTTCTGAAGGAGCCGAGGCAGAGGTGCCGCTTGGGCGTTAGAAAGGATCATTTTCCATGAAATGCATTTAGTTGAATCTCAAATTCATGTTTGCAGTGTGTCTACATGCTGCAGCGCTTGTGATGTCGACACCGCGATTTGCGGGGGGTGATGCTGTGAAGGAAAAAGCTGCAAGTGAAGCACATTCAGAAGTCGGCCATGAGTCCCGCCAAAACCCATTGTCGAATTGTTCCTTTGGCATCTTTCGTAGTCCCCAAATGTTTGTAAATGAAGCCATTGAAAAGGGTCATCCGATCAGTCTTGAAAACTTTTTGTCCAAACCCCTAGAAGAGGCAATTAATAAGGCAGTTTCGGTTTCCTCGAAAGAGCTGAATGCCAGTGTTCATTCGTGGTGTCGACCTTTTATAAGCATCTGAACCGAAAGCCTGCCGAGCCAGTCGTAAGAAGCGTTCGTACTCCAACTTTGTGGTGCTGCCACCAGTAGATCCCGGAGAAGCATGGAGTGAACCGCTCCTGAGGCTACATCCCTGCCAGCGTTTGCCGCCAGCTGGGGCCCCGCGTGCTTTGTCACCGACAAGCGAGTGGTAAGCTCCAAAACCGACCGTGACTTCCATGCTATGGTTCTAGTGTTTAAAAGGCAAAAGAAGTATCGGTCAAAACCTCCCGTGTCAAATCGCGGTTGCTCCTAATCATGTTGAGCCGAACCACTTTAAAGAATCATTCGTGCTGCAGCTCCGTATTTGATTTGTATACGGTTGACCTCCAAAGACGACAGACCGACACACCGCTCGCATCCGGAGGTTGCAAGCGCCGGCGACCAGCTTGACACAGGCCCCGCATGCTTTTTCGACGACAGCCAACAGACTTTTTGTTTTATATAAGAGATTTAAAAACCAGAAGATGTGGGTCACCATTCATCACCTCATCATTCATCTACGCCCAAAATTGTGCATGCATCAGTTCATATGATTCCATCCTTTTCGGTTGCTCCGTGCTGTCAGCAAAATTGCAGATTGTTTTCCTGACGCAATTGGACTCAGTCAGGGAAGTCATGTCTCCTTGTTTTTGAGGCAGTGACGCGTGAGTCCTGGCTCATCTTTCTTTACGCTGGGCAGCCCAATAAGAGCGCAGCCAGGTTCAGAAGTTGTTTTGTTTTCCTTTCCAAGTTTGGAGATCTTGGCACAGTGCAGGGCAAGAATGTTTGTTTTGCTCCATGGTTGTCCGAGTCCGGTTGGCTCAGAAAAGAGCATGGGCATCAAATGTCGAGCAAAGAGAATCCTGCGCAAAATGCATTGCACTGGGAACAAGTGTCGAGTAAACATTCAGTGATTTTGGGAAGTGTTTTTCCGATTGCCCGTTTGCCACGGGAGAGTGCAATGTGAATCCGCAACGGGCAGCGACACAATTCTCAATCGAGCCAACTCAGGTCGGCTTCAAGAGATGTCAAACACTGCCAAGAAACGGGCTGTGAGGCTCCCAAGGAAACCCAAGGCGTCCGCGGCGCCTCCAGTGAGAAAGGCCAAAAAGGAGCCTTCGTTGCTACTGCCATCCAGTCGAAATGAGGAAGCAGCGTCCGCATCCGTGAATCCTGTCAAGCCAGCAGCCGCGCCAGCAGATTTTGAGCAGAAAACGCCAGCAGAACGTCTTCCCCAGCAGCGGCAAGATAGTCTGGAGAAACTGGCTGGATGCATGGCCTGCCGTCGTAGTGCCCCCGTGTTAATGAGCATTTTGGAAACCAACCCATTCAGACAATCACCCCCCGAAGCTTTGCCAGCCTTGCAAAATGACAAGCCGTGCCGTGGGATGACCGCGACCCATGACGGAAAAACAGTTTTTGTGGTGGACACCTTTCAACAACGAAGTGCATGGATGGTTGACATCGCTCAAGTGCGGCCACGGAACGACGGCGTGCTAACTTTAGGCCGTATTTTGACTGTCAAGGCAGATGTCCTGACCCATGTTCGCTTTGACTTGCTGGTTGCTAGGGTCTCTTCTTCTCAGGTCCTTTTGCAAAAGGCCGAACGCTTGCAAGAAGCCCAGCAAGCGGCCTCGTTTCCATTCATTGTGCCGCCTCCTGCCACACTGCCCGGCCACGTGCCGCTCCATGATGTCAAGGTGCAACCAGAGGCAGCCAAGTTGCATGCTGACAAGCACGGACATGTAACAGCGCCCATGCGAGATCGGGAGATGACTCAATGGTACCTTGACTTGCCACACTCAGTTGAATTTAAGCTTTGTCCTTATCGTTGCCTCACATGCAAGCAGCAAAGTAGTAGCAGTGCTTTTGGAGGCAGCTACTTCGCAATCACCGATACAGATATTCGCAAGGCTTTTCCTGGAGTTTGCGTTGTCCATCGGCCCAAAGAAAAGAAACATTACTTGAGCCGCCGGTATTTGTTTGAAGTTCTGGTCCAATTTTATTGCAAGCTCAATTGTCGCGAGGTGCGCAGAAGCCTCATGGATGCTTGTTGCACCTCCACGATCCAGACAAACTTCTTGCACCGAGTCCATGCAGTGCCGAAGAGCATAGTGTTGCGTCATATCGTGGTCAAAGCTTTCGGCCAGTGTCTTGATGATATTGTCACATCTTTCCAAGAGAAGATGTTTCTATACAATGCGCAGGGAGTCCGGCATGATGGCAATATGGGTTTGGCCCGTCGGGTCGTCTTGCCACATAGTGCTGGTAGGCGTCGGCCTCGCTGCCACGCAAGAAGCGCTGGTTCCTGGGTCACAGGAAACGCTGTGGTCGAGTGGTTCTTGCCTTCACAGGTGCGGAACCATGAAGAGGATATATATAACCATTGATGGGAAAAACACGGATCCCTTTACAAGCGGAATGCTTCCTAATGACACAGACGGCTAAAACAAATGTTTGTTTAGTCCGAAATATTGTAGAGACGTCGAATGGCATTCCCTGCCTAGCCCTTGGAGGCCTGGATGGAAGTCTTCTTGCGCCACCACGGGTGGCAAGTTCGGAAGCCTTTTCTGCCATCGATGCACAGTTGGAACCTTTGCTGCGGAGAATCAAACTGGCCCGACTCCGTGCTGGATGCAGCTTGGCAAATGTAAATGTAAATGTTTATCTGTTCTTTTCAGTTACTGGATTCACACCCCTTGAATCCAGCGGGCTTCCCACAAGCTGGGGCCGATTGTGTCACCATACCATGCGCCCCAAACCCCCTATTCAACGTACCCTCTCTCCACCGCCGGGATCTGTCCACATAGCGGACACATTGGGGGCCCTCTGCATCCTCATACCAAGAATTTCACCACCGCTGCAAGGTACAATCGAGCAGTCCATTCCAACGTTTCATGCGACTGACAATTACCGTGGGCAGCGGTTCAAGCGCCTCCAGGTACCATGCTTCGTGGCCAGAGCTACGTTTGCAGACTTTCGCACCCACTCCAGGTGATGCCAAAAAACGATGTGTAGTCCCCGTTCAGGAGATGCAGGAAGGGTGCACCGTAGCCGGCGACCCGCAGCACGATATCGGGGGAGGGCAGCTGACCGAGATGACGCGCTCTGCGATCATTGCGACATGATCTGGACGCTCTCTGGGCCGGAGCCCCCCAATTGAAGAACGCTCAAGCACCAGAGATGCAGCTCTCCGAGCGAGCTATTTGTCTTCTAAAAAGTGCTTGCCTTCATACCCCTCCTGCATTTGAAGAAAACAAAAAGAATAACAAACTTGCCGCCCAAGAGCTGAAGACATTCTTAGCTTTGCCGCGTGTGCAGCTAGCCCCAGCGTGGAAAGCAGCGTTCGGAATGTTTCCACCACGGGGAACATTGGCTCGAATTGCAAATAGATTGGAAGTTGATTTGCACGCCACCTCGCAGCCCTTCGGTTGGCCTACCCCGCATGCCTTCAGACAAGAAATCAGACGCGTGCGTCGGTGGTACAGGAAGGGGAAAAAAAGCTGGCGGAAGAACCATTCTTTGCCCCGCGCAGAGGGCGCACCTGAGTTTGTGCGGGGGCTCCAGACATGTTGGACGCAAAAAGTCAATTTGCATTACCGCCGCCTGCTTGGCAGAATTCGCCAAGAAGGATTGTGGAGTTGGAGACAGATGTCAAGAGCCATGAGATTGGCCCGTTTGGGGCAACAAACAGGCACGGTCAGTGTCGAGCGTGTTTGGTCGTATTGCCAAGCCGAATTTCCCACAGCCAACCGCAGCATGAGCCTGGAATACTTCAACGTCATGAGTGCGTTGCTGTTCTTACGCTTCAACTTGCAACACTTCAAAGCAAAGCAGCTGCCAGGGTGGCTTGAAAATGATTCCCTGCTGGCCACAAAGCTCGATGCCATCCTGGCCTGGGCCAGGTCTCAAGGCACAGAGTCCGATCTCCATGACTTTGCTTCGGCTTTTGATTGATTCGTCAAGCGAAAAAAAGAGTGCCAAGCGTTTCAGTCCTTGCATGTGGTTTGTGACTCGTAGGATGATATCGTTCCATGACTTGTTCTTTTTAATTCTTGAACACCTAGAGATCATCATTGACACAAGAGAACCGGACAGAGCAGAACGCACCGAATTTGTCACTGGCCCGAGTTGTTGGACATGCAGGACGTTCTACCGAAGTCAATCGACCTGTCATCAGGTGGAAATCCTCCTGCGGGAGCGGTCGTGCTGAACATGTCGCCCAGCAGAAGGTGCCCGTTGCAGGGCCACTTCGATTCGCCTGGTGAGAAGTCATTGTATAATCCCTTGGGCATTCCTGCGTCGCCCCCAATTCCTAAAGTCAAAATGACCAACATACAAGTGCTCGTGACCAAGAGCTCACCGGGGCCTACAAAAAGGGGCGCTGCTTACTGTAATTCTGAAGATCCCCTTCAAGATCGCAGCAGAAACCCTGAACAGAGGCACCCGCCAAAAGGACTCGGCAAGCCTAGTAACTATACTATATAGTTTGCCGATGTGATTATGTAAACATATAAAAACTATACTTATATCTTGTATATAGGCAATAGGGCAGAGCTGGGCAGAGCAGAGCTGGCGGGCTGAGATGCGCTGGTGCCAGATGTGCCAGGAGCGTGTCATCGTGCCCGGAGTTCACATGTCTGAAGAGATCCAGGAAAGTGGGCCATGCGGGCGACTTGGCATACTCTGGTAGACCCAGGCTTAGAACGAGTCCGCAGTGAGTGAGAGGGGAAAAGAATCAGGTACCGTTCTTTTAGATGTTCAAAGAAGCTGCCACCTGTTTTAAACCTTCTTGGGTGGTTCTTGGGTCCTTCTTGGCGGTTGGGTGTGACCACAGAAGCATCTGCCCCGCAGCCTGCGGTCGTTCTTGCCCGGACTCCGCAACGGGGCATGACCATCGGGCACCATCCAAAATAACATGCTTTAGGACATGAATAGACTCCAGCGATCTAACACTAACACTTGCAGGTGCTTTTAGCCACATCCCACTGGTCTGGGACGTCAGCATACGTCACCTTGGGCCCTTTAGTTTAAAACGAGCCCCGTGAATGGAGGGAAGCAGTCCCCCTGCAGACATGAAATACGAGACATGTGACAAGTGTTAAATACAAGTTATAAGTATATATACGAGGCTTCTCTCCAAAATTTCATTCCTAGGGGTCCAGGGGTTGTAATTAACCCAGCCCCGGCCACATTGTGTGCATGTATATGTATCCGATGGTAAATCTTGAGGTTTAAGGATTTGGTGATGGGTCTTGGGTGAGGCATAGTGGCAGGCAGGGTTAGGTATAGAGGCAAACAGGGGAGGTGATACTATTCTAGGCCCCCACCAGAACTGAACCACCCTGGAATAATTTCGGGTGGAGAGAGCGAGAGAGAGAGAGAGAGAGAGAGAATGGCCAGTTTCATGCACATGCCATGCAATACCAACAGGGATGCTGGTCGTTTTCAGACTGTTTTATCTCCCGGACACGCTGGATGGTCGAACGCATCTAAGATACGTTTTGGTTTCCGCCGTGTTTCGCCTGGCCACCAAAACGCCCCCGCTCGCTTCGGTTGGCCCGGGTCCTTCGGATGGTGAAGCGCTTCCAGGTGGGGTTCTGGGTCACTGTGACTGCGAGAATGAGTGGGCCATTTGAATGCGCGTAGTGACTAAACCTACTCAGGGTCAAGAAACAGATTCCAAGTGACTGATAAGCTTTATCAACATCAGCAACCATCATGAGTATTGAGTATTGGATCGGTTCTACCTGTTACATGCTGTTATATTGGATCAATGAATCTGTTGAAATTCACCTCATCCCCATGGACCCCGTAGCGTGGACTCTCAAGGTAGAGCAAAAGAGACGCTTAGCGGTTCTACAGGGTTAGCTAGGATAGCTAGGGCATCTGAGCTGATCCTGTAAAATACAGAATCTTTCTCATTCTTTCTCTAAAATGCATTGCTCTAAAACAAGACAGTTATTGGTTGACTGACCTTTACAGGCAATAGGACACTTCAAAGGGAAATCATGGGGTCAGTCGCCCAATGCGCGGAAAACACGGAAATATACAATTGGCATCGCTGCCCACGCGTGCAAGGCAGCTTCCTGAGTCTGGACGAGCTGTACTATTCTTGGAGGCTTTGAGGAAAGGGGGAGGCTGCGTGGCTATATAGCCCAGGCGTAGATGAGATGTGGGTTTAGATTGCAGTGATTAAGGATATATGTGGCTGTGTAGGTTCCTTAGATGTAGGTGTCCTGAGACGGGCAATGACGTGCGCAGACATGTGTGGAATTTAATTTCCGTATGACAGTGATCGAGCTGAAATGATTTGTGACCGTGGGGAAATAAGTGCATTCAGAAGCTAAAGGGTCGGTATGTGCGTATTTGGAGCTCATTGCATGATGGGCGAAGAAAGCTTATCAACGCAGGAGTCATCAAGGCGATCAAGAAGAGAAAGTGTTAAAAGACTCGACAAGCATGGAAAGTCTTGCGAGCTCATGGCATCGTCATCATCCTGGGACCGAAAGACTTGTGAAGCTGAATGTCCAATCGCAAAATGTCACAAAATGAGCTTCAGTGCTTCCGTACTTTTCGTGACATGTCTACCAAACCTTTGGGGAGTCAGCAGTTTTTGGCCATTTGTGTTGGGTTTAAGTCAACACCATGAAGCGGCCTGCAGCGCCATCTCGCTCTGGAGCCCGCACCAGCGGTCGCTCCGGAAAGTCTGACAAACCAGGCAAACCCGGTAAGTCCGGTAGGTCTGGCTACATTCGGGAACACGAGGGGACTGCCCGCATGGTCTTTTTGGGGTACGTCCTTGCCAGCTTGCGGGCCACGAGCAGAAAATTGCACGGGACAGGGGCGCCCTTGAAGGGTTCGAGCAACGCAGAAGCCAAGAAGGTTGAGTCGTGCCCAACCTTCAAAACTATGAAGCGTTGCGAATGCACCCCCGTCCTGGACAATTCTACATTGGAAGTGCACTGTTTGAGCGCTGGTGTTGAGGCGGTGGTTCAATTTGTATACGCCGTGCTCTTGCGCACAGTGTTCAGTGGCTTCGGCCTCCTCTCCCTCTTCCTCTCGGAATATGAGCGGCTGTCAGGGTGCAGCTTCCGTGATGCTGTCCTCCGGAAACGTGCTGATGCGGATATTGTTGCACGCGTTGTAAGCCAGTGCAAGTTAGGCACTGCTACGCCTGAGGCGCGCGTCGCCCAATGGACAATGGCGCGGAAAGCTTGGGGAGAAACTGGCAAATATACGGTAGCAAGGGCGTGCGCCGACCACATTTGCAACGCCATCAAATCTGGCCAAGCCAAGGACACGGTGGATTTCATTTCCAAAGCCTCAGATGAGGGTGAGGCGCGGGATGCCATGGAGGAATGTGGCATCTATCAGCCATTTTTAAAGTATCTGCTGTACGGGGACCTGTGCCTATGGCACCCTCGCCTCCCAGAGTCATTTGAAGTTGGTCCCGGGGCTGCGGAAGAATTAAAGCGATGCACCCGCAGCCTTGCAGATACGACTCCACACAACCAACTCCAACATTTGCATGTGGATTAAACCACAACTGCCAAAGGAGTTGGTTGAATCTGTGTGTGGAGGTCGCGGTTGGACCGCTGCAGAAACAGAGCACGGCTTATGTGAGTTTAGAAAAGTACAAAGCAGGGCTCAAGAAGGGAAGGGAGCAGCGTGATAAAGCTGGCGCGGCGCAGCGTCAAGCAGAACGCAGGGCACGCTTGAAGAGAGTTTGGAAACTCTTCAAGCTCAAAAAGTGTCCCCCATGCCCTTGACTGCACCGTCCCTGTTTCACCCCCGAGCCACGCCCAAAAGCTGCATTCCTTCGGGCTTGGGCGTGAGGCGGAATCTTGGAAGGCGCCCTTGGCAGGTGCTTGGATGAGGGCTTGCGACAATCCTTCCGTTTAAAAATCACTTTGTGGCGCGGCTTCAATCTCAGGGTGCAACCATTGGGTCCTCGTTGCCAAGTCGGTGATTGGTGGGTAAGCCATATAAGCATGCTCCCCACGATGCGCGTCCGTGAGTAGCAGCCCACATGGCTCCCAAACCCAAAGCCTTTTGCCAACACTGGCCCAAAAGTATAGACTTCAGACAAGCATCCGCTCTTCTCAGGTATGTCAACACAAAACAGGTCCATAGAGGAGAAGCTCTTGGACTCTTGGCGGTGTCTTGGTGGTGCACTGTTGTGTCTGGTCTGTGGCACACGGTGTGGCCAAATGACGGTTGTGATGTCGCTGCGCCGTGCGGTTTTGAGCGGCCTCGGTGGAAAGTGCGCTTGCGTGAGTCCGTGCAACTGCGGGAACCAACGCATGCTTCTGCAAGTAGTAACTCTTGAAGCCCTATCGTTGTACAAAGCACGTCGCAAAAAGTCTGCGAAGTCTGGCTGCGTAAGGGCGGCGTAAGCGTCCACTTCCCCCCACATGCCGCGTCAGAAAACCTGTGAAGTGCGTAAGAAAAACATAGAAAAACCTTTGTGTTGCGTAAGCACCCTCTTACGGCATAGAAATCCATCATAATCTATCAAGGTTTCCAGCACAGCTCTCGTGTTTTTCCCTGAAACCGGCGCGCGTGGTGAATAAGTCTTGTTGACACACGGATCAGGAGGTAGCCATGGTGGCAGGTAATGGCAGGTACCTTATGAGGCCCATTCAAGCCAAGCATGCCAAACCATTTCAATTCCCAACTCCTAGCCCACATCTTGGCCAGGCGGTTGCCCGAGCTTGGCCCTGGCCCTCAGCGTAGAACGCGCTTTTGCGAGCCCAGAAGAAGAGCCGGGGTTCAATTTTTTTGACTTCCAGCTAGCCGTTCTTCGTAAATCTGAACTGCTGCAGCCGTGCAGCCATCACAGCCCCCGAAGTTGTTTTGCGTTCGCGTTTCGGAGGCCCAGGCGATTTCTGCAACCTCATGCAACCTCCATATCTTTTCTCCCCTTCTACAGTCCAAGTGCCTTCTGCACCCTCCAAAAAAAGGTTCCTTGTATGTCGTATGCTTTTAAACGGGGAAACACCATTGAACACCATTCCTTCCTCAGAGGATGAGATTACTTGGCACTTGGCAACCATTTTCGGATGTACTATGTCATTTTTCCAGCTCCCAACGTCTTGGCTATTGGGCAGTTGCCTGAGTTTGGGCTTGGTCCTTGATGGTCGTTGGGTGTAGTCCAGAGATGATGGTAGGCGGGTGGCCCACCATTCACTATTTTGCGGCCCGCATTCAATTTCTAGAAAACCATTATCTAGCCCATGTCGGAGTTTGAGCGTAACCCAGTTGGCAGAGGCAATGGAAAGTAAATTGCTCTGCTTGATTTGGTTGGTATAATGTTCTAGAATTTTGTGGCAGGCCTGGTGGCCAGGGGCCGACCTGCGACCGAGCGTTCCGGTATGAGGTGTCAAAGCTAGCAGGCTTGGCCAGTGCCCAGCGCGCCTGTTTTGTGTGGGGAATCGCAGGGGAACTACACCCACCAGCAACTCTTACAAGCATAGTTGCAGGATAGTCCTGGATTCAAGTCGATTTGGAGGGAGTTTGTCTCTTATGTCACACGGACGGGTCCTTCTATTTTTGTCCGTCAACGATATGAACAGGTTTTGATGAGTTACTACGACATAGATACCTACTTGGTCATGCGTATAGTATAGATATGTATAGATATCTAATGACATCTATATTTTATCTTGCTGATGGCTGGTGGTTTCATTTGCTCGCGGCTGGCTCTTGCAGGCCATCCCAACTCCCTTCCGCGCCCAAGCGCCCAAGCTTGGGGTTGACAGACGTTAAGCATCGTTAAGCAGAGGGTATAGCCTGAGAGGAAAGATCGAGCCTGCGTTCTTTGAGCACGGGATAGCTGCAGCCGTCCAATGGGTTGGAAAGCTTGCTAAGGTTTGATGTTTTGGGCTGATTTCTTCTAAGGGACAGACAGGGCAGGTGATATTATTGCAGGCCCCCACCAGAACAGAACCACCCCTGGAAAAATTTTTATGTTGCGCAGGAAATGGGGACTAGTAAGTCTTCTGGTATGGGATTGGAAGGTTTGAGGCTTAAGGATTTTGTGATGGGTTTTGGGTGAGGCATAGTGGCAGACAGGGTTAGGGAAAAGAGGCAAACAGGGGGGGTGTTTTTAAGTTCCAGGCCCCCGCCAGAACAGAACCACCCCTGGAATAGTTTTATCTTGCGCAGGAAATAGGGACTAGTAAGTCTTCTGGTATGGGATTGGAAGGCTTGAGGCTTAAGGATTTTGTATGATTTTGTGATGGGTTTTGGGTGAGGCATAGTGGCAGACAGGGTGAGGCATAGTGGCAGACAAGGTTTGAGGTGATGCGCTCTTTCATGCGCGACAGCGCGTGCCAGGCAGTGATGACGGCCTGTGGTGACTGAATATAGGTCTGGGCGCGTCCGCGCAATGAGGCATTTGCAAGCGGCAATGTCGGCAATGTCCAAATCCTACAGCTAAAGCAGGCTTGAGCAGCACTACTCCACCATCTCCTGAAATCCATCCAGTGGGAAATCCACCAATGACAACGCTTGGTCAAGATAGTCACATGGCAATTGACCCACTGTACTGGTCGCATGATAATTTTTGCCTACTCTGTCGAATAGCTGCGCGACAGGAACAGCTGCGGACAACCACAAGGACTCATGCTGACAACATTTTGGGAAGAGGACTTTACGAACCAAGGCCTACACTGTCTGAACAGCTTACTACTTACTAAAAGCTTTCTAGTAATTAGAAGGAAGCTTTCGTTTCACTGGGAATTATTTCACCTGTAGCAACTAGAAGCTTACCAGACACTGACACCACACAATTTTGGTCGGATGATCAGCGCAGCTTATGGCCACACATGTGGTTGTTGTGCTTGTTCATTGGATTCATTTCTAGCTAGTTCGTTCAAACCGGGCAAGGGTGGTCAAGTCATGGTCAAAAGATATTGAATCTAGGGAACATCTACTGTTAAAGATGTAAATAGTGCACCCTGATGTTCTTTTTCTTGCGCTGAGCTTTGCAGCCACTTGACCAGAGCTTTCTGAGTGCCTCGGAATTTGGTACAACTTGGCTTCAAAGAGCCTACTGTATTTGAGATGATCAGCTGTCCTAATTTGGGACACCAGATTTACTGGAGTGTATATAAAGGAGCCCTGATGCCTTAATGGAGGATTGCCCGGCCTGCTGAAATCACGGGCCCCCATTTTTGCGAACACTCATGATGGGTTGCTGTACCTTGGCTGGGCATCAGAGCTCTCCAAGATGAAAGCTGGCAAGCGCCGCGCAGCGACCCGGAAAATCAGGCATCAAAATCAAAGTACCTTAACATCAGGTCTGGAGTGTAGAGCCTAGCATGAGGGTCATGGCCATGCTTTGATCACCTCGTAGTTTTGTCCACGCCAGACAACATGCCTGTGAAACTATGCTTATCAAATTAACCAGGAAAATGGCCAGCTCCCTGCACAGTTGGGTGAGGGTTTGGGGCAAATAGAACTGTTTGAACATTGAAACATTGACAAGTTACCTTCATGTCGTGAATCGCTGAGAGATTTCTGTTTGAAGGTGAGTGATGTCCTCATCGGTCGCGATTGGTCATAGCGGCTGCCTATGCAAAATGCTCTGCAGAGAGCATATGCTTGGCTGCTGTTCACATGCCATGCATGATTGACATCCATGACGTGACATGGGTGCCAGTCGGACGGATCGAACCGCTGGCATCCGAACATGATACGTCGTACTCTTCCTATCACCCTGCTATAGCTTTTGTCACCAACCCTTGGCCTCAAGTCGACTTTTCCACTTTTGGTGACTTTTCGAGACTTTTCGACTTATCGACTTCGCGACTTTTCGACTAGTCGCGGCCGAAAACGGGACCGACTACTTTTCCGCTTTTGGTCCACCTTCATTTTGCTAGCATCCATCCGTGAGTCGACACAGGATGTTAAGAAAATATACACTCGGACACATTCGCGTGTCACAAAATCACAGCCGCGCAGACAAGAACAAGAGTTCACATTATATTAAATTATAAGAGTTCAGGATGAGTGCTGGCGTAACAAAAGTGCACATGTGCCACCAGCGGCGTGGCGGCGCAGCGGCGTAGCAGGGCATCTTGCACAGCGGGCGTAGCGGCGCAGCGGCGCAGCGATGCAGCGGCGCAGAGGCGTAGCGGCGCAGCGGCGCAGCGGCGCAGAGGCGTACCGGCGCAGCGGCGTAGCGGCGCAGCGGCGCAGCGGCGCAGCGGTGCAGAGGCGTATAGGCGCAGCGGCGTAGCGGCGCAGCGGCGCAGAAGCGTATCGGCGCAGCAGCGTAGCGGCGCAGTGTCGTATCCGCGCATCAAGGACAAAACCAAAACTATAGCGCGGTGCACTGGCGTAGCAGCGCAGCGGCGCAAGACCGTTCGAAGACAACACGAAGCGCGCGAGCGGCGCAGCGGCGCAAGACAGTGTAAGGACACAAATCGCCACCACGCTGAAATGGAGGGACACTTGGTCCCCCGACTAGGGTGGTTGTTCAGCCGTAAAGTTCAAGGTGCTGTCATGTTGGCGGCCGCGGCAGTAGCAGCGCTGCGAGCGATGCGAAGGATAGCATTGGTGAGGTGGTTGGCTTGTTGTTCGGTGAGAGGAAAGTCAGGGATAGGAGGAAGTGGTGGGAAAAGTGCCTGTGGCGCCGGTTGTGGTGGTGGTGGTGGTGTGGTAGTTGGTGTAAATGCTGGCTGCGGAGCAGGGCACGGTGGTTGCATGTTTGATGTCTGATGGAGCGAGGAGCTGTGTGCTGGTGGCGTGTACCGAGCTGAGGTGGCAGGGGTATTCAGGTGCTGGTGGATGTAGCGAAAAGTTGTACGGCGTGATTTTGCCGTCGCAACGTGGTCTGGGAATCCGGACCTGTATTTGGCGATGTGTTGGAGAAGAAATGGGGATGTTGCTGCTGGAAGAAGGCGGGGAGTGAAGGAGGGAACGAGCGAGGGCAGGTGGAGGGACAAGAGTGGTGGCCAAAGGTGTAGGGGCGGACTGGAGGCGATGAGGTGGCTGCCCTGGATTTCTTGAGGATGGGGACGTTGGTAGTGAGGATGACTGGATCCTCGGTGCTGGTGGATGTGGCAGGCGATGGTGGAGGTTTCGGTGCTGTGGTGGTTTTCGCTGGCTGTGGTGCTTGTGGCTTGTGGGAGGTAGTGCGACTGGTGCGGTTGCGATGGGTGGGAGGTGGAATTGGTGGTGTCTTTGGTGGCGGTGCGGCTTTTTGGGTGGTGGATGGTGCTGGTGTGTGAGCCGCTTCTGTTGCAGTGTCTTCAACCTTGACTGGTGGAAAGTCTGCCCGGGGTTGTGTCGGGTCTGATACTGTATACGGATCTGCTTCAATGAGGGAAGGACTGCGGTCCCAATCCGGGGACTCAAGGTGCGTCATGGGACAGTCGGACAAAAAATGATCAGCGCCTGATGGAACAAAACGGCTGCAGGTATGCAGTAGGAAAGTGTCATGCGTTGGTGATTAGAAAAAAAGTCGTGAGAGAAAAGTCGAATTCCTGTAGAATGACATTCATACGAGTGATGAAAAGAGCCAATGACGTTCACTTTTGGTCGATCCGTGTTGCTTGGTGGCGGTGAGACTGAGATCTAAAAAGATTGGCCGGTGTGCTGTCGCGGCGGGGAGATTGGCCAGGTTGCCGACGGTGAAGACGAGCTGTGTGGTGTGGTGGTTGCCGTCCAAAGAGACGGTGGAGTTGGCTGCGGTTGGTGGGAGTGGGTGTTGATGTAATGTCAGAGAGCGGGCTGCGGTGGTTGATGTGGAGATTGGGGTTGTGTTGTAGCGCCGTAGTGTTGAAAGGGGGCGGGGGAGGCTGCCTGTCTCGCGAGCGCGAACGCTGGCGGGGGGCCAAATGGTGGATGAGGCTGTGTTGGGGGGAATGTGTGGCTGGTGTGCTCAAAGGCTGAAGGGGCGATGTGTATAAGGAAGTTGCAGGTAGCTGATGGTGGGAACTTGGCAGACGGGTCCATACGATAATGGCCTGGGGAGTTCGGGGAACCGGGCAGGAACTGAAGGAGACGGATGCCGCGGCATAGGTCGGAGTTGACCGTTCCCAAATGACGAAGATTGTTGCGGAGTTGTAGGTAAAGTCGATATGCTTGCTGGTCCGTGAAAGAAGAGGGGTGGGGAATAGGATCAGTGACCAATGGGTGGTTTTGAATGTCTGTGACAATGGTGTTGAGGGTGGCAATCATCCAAGAAAGTAGCAAAAGCTCTGGCTGATGAGTAGCTGACGGTGCTAGGTAGGGAAGCGGGTTCCCAGGCAGGAAGTAGCCAGCTGCTGGACCTGACGGAATGTCAGCGGAGGAGGCAAAAGGTGATGACTCCGTAGCCGTCGGTGTAGTGGCGTCCGAGGGCGAGGCGTCGAGGCGTTCCGGCATGGCGACAGGCAGATTGGCGGGTATGCTTTGGCCGTGAGATCTCAAAATGCTGCTGCTGAATGAAAAAGGTTAACGTACGAGAAAAAAGAAAAAGAACGGAGGACTCCTGGTGAAATAAGGATGACATGAAGCAGTGGTGGGAAGTCTTTTGCTGCAAAAATGTCGAAGGTATGTGAAACTGTGTGGATGCTGCTCACTGGTGGAACATCAAGTGCTAAAGGCGGTGCATCACACGATGGAGTGCAGAACGGATTTCAAGATCTGGATCGGTCTCTTGAGCGTGATCTGTCTCGAGGAGTGTTGTGGCTGCCGGAGCGGCTGTGAACAGGTTCCGGAGAGTGTGGTGAGTTGGGTGGTGTGGTGGCTAAAAAGTCGGTAGTGTTGTCAGGGAAGGTCACCGTGGGATCGACACGCCAATAGCCTGGTTGACCTGGAGGTCCGGGCACGAACTGGAGTAGGCGACGTGCTCGCGCGGCCCAATTCAACGATGCTTCGGTGGTATTGGTAGTAGACCGCGTAGGCAGTGGGATCCCAAAACATGTCGAGGCTGGGAACAGGGCTGTTGGTGATGGGATGCTCAAAGAGGCGTGTGACAAGTAGGAAGAGGAAGTCAAGAAGGGTGTGAAAGGCCAGAATTTCTGGTTGGATGGTGAAAGAAGGTGTAAGGTGAATGGGAGGGTTGCCCGGCAGGAAATGCTGTGCCTCTTCGGTGTGCTGAAGCGTGTTGGTCTGGGTGTCGGTCGAGGTCGCGTCGCTTGGTGGTCGCGCTGGTGCGCTGCGGAAAGTGTGCCCGTTGGCCATGTTTGCAGAGCTGAGGTGAATAGAGCGCTAGGTAAACGGCGTTCTTTCAAATGGCTGCGGAACAAAACTGAATTCGATGAGACAGTACGCAAAAAATGATTGAAATTCCGCAAGTAACATGAAAGAGATTGAGTGGGACAGTCGCTCGGCAGCAATGAAAACTTGCAGTGAAATCCGCGAGTATTTCCAGCAGCGCGCCGGGAGGAATGTGGTGAAACTAGTATTTGCACAAAATAGCTGCCGACCAATTGGTCGCGATTGGGTTCCTGATGGCTATCCTCACTGTTGTGGCCTGTCTCAGCTGCAGCTGCCGCATCCGCAGTGTGCAAGGTTGGCGCTGGCTGTGAAAGAAGAAGTGGAGAGGAAGAGTTGGAGTAGTCCGCTAGGGATGGCAGCTGTTGTGTGGATGCAGAATGTAAGGCTGGTGGTGGTGTGTGAGGGGCTGGCGAGATGTAAGCGGGTGAAGTGGGAGTGGGTGAAATGGCAGGTGAAGGGTGAGAATGGTGAGCTTGCTGTGGTTGGATAGAGGTGTCATGTCGTCGTTGTTCTTCTTGAAGTTCCTGCCAACGGCTCTGACACTGTTCAATCGAGAAGCCAACACGGCGAGCAACGTAGTTCCAATTGGGTCGTAGGCGGTTGTCTGTTTTTAGCTCAATGAGCTTGAGGTCGGCTTCACCATCCCAATCGTCCCAGTCTGCATTGGAATTCAATGGAGGTGGTGGTTGACGTTTCTTCTTGGGTGGTTGTGGCTTTGAAGGAGATGTGTCGGAAGAAGAATGGGTAGGTCCAGGTGTTCGTCGGATAGGCTCAATGGGTGCTGAGTCACAAGAGGAAGTGGGTGACAGGATGGGGACTGCAAAAGAAGGAGGTGCTGGCAGTGGAGGGAATGTGCGTTGAAATTGGGGTCGACCTGTCCTGTGTGGAGCAGGTATAGGTTGTGCAAGTTGGCAAGAATGTCTGTGGCTTGTTGGAGAAGGCGATGTAACTGCGTAAGGGCAATCGTGGTGCGGTGAATCAACTGCGATGGTGTCGAACTGGGATGCATCTTGGATGATGGTTTGGATGATGAGTGCCAATGATAATGATAGTCAGCAGCAGCGGCTCCGCGGCGCTTCCCAGTGGCGGCTCAGCACAACATGCAGTGACGACGCGGGCGTGCATACGAATTAAAGTGCGAATTTTCGAGCATGAATTCCGCAGAAAAATCAGTCACAAAGGGTAGAGTCGTCGTGGGGTGACCCAGCAAAAGCCTGAACCAGGATCGAGAGGCCATCACAACCCAAGTGGAAAGGAAACACGGAGGTCCTTTGTTCAAAAGCAAACATCAAGGCTACCTCATGAGCAAACTGTCGCGCAAAGATTCTCGCCCGGCAACATATCATCTGAATCGCAGCTCAACGAATTAGACAGGCAGCTCGCCCGGATTTTCCGCTGGACGGTAGGTATGTGGCGTGAGTGAAACTGTGGCGGAGGTGGCGCTCAGGGTGTAGGTGGGCAATGGAGGTGGTCAAGTGGTTGGTGGTGTTGCGTTGACGGACCAGGCAACGCCTTTGATAATGCCGTTGTGTGGGTGAATCACCCAGGATTTGGCATTGGCATGGTGTACAGCGCCATGGTGTTGTTGAAGTAATCGCATGGCGTGTTCTTCGCCACCGGTGGTGAACTTCGTGCCTTGGCCCCAGGCCAAAATGTTGAGAATGACGGAGTGGGTGTTTTTTGCTAAGTTCCATGTGTTGTGGAGAATGCGTGCATGTTCGGAGTTGTCGTGGTTGAGTTGGTGGGTAATGCGGACGCCCTGGGCAAAGAAACCCGGATTGTCTGGAAAGTGGAGTTTGCTGGCCAGGAGGCGGCCTTGCTGGAGGATGTTGGTGATGTTGCCACGAGGGCCTGCGTGCCCTGCGTTGATGTGGACCATTTCGGGTGAGTTGGCAGTGGCACGGGTTGCAGGTGGAGGAAAAGTGCGGGTGGCTTTCTGAACCAGACTGGGAATGGTGAGGCAATGGTACTGGTAGAGGTCATATGTATTGGTGGAGTCGCTCCACTTGATTGTGAATTGGCGAAAATCAGAGATATCTTTGTAAGTGAAACCGCTGTCGAGAAGGAGTGTGGCAATGTATGTGTGTTGTGGTTTGTTGGGTGATCCAAGCTGTTCGGCATGCCAATCGAGCCAATGTTCCAGTTGTTCCTGGGGTGTGTGTTGCTGTAGCTGTGAGGTAGGGCGCCAAGGCCTGTCTGTTCGGCGCAAAGCTGGGATGGTGGGATATTCTGTCTGAGATAGGTTGGTGACGGCGTCTTGCTGTGTGGAGTCATTGTTGGGGCGAAGTGAGGCGGGGTGTCTGGAACGGCTGCGTGAGCGGCTGTCTGAGTAGGAATAGGAAGAGGAGGTGGAAGGAGAACGTGGACGACGATGTCGTGATGAACGATGTCGGTGAGATGAGCTCTGCTGTTTGTTGGAGTGTTGCTGTGGTTCAGAGTGTCTGGTGCGATGGCGCCGGGTGCGCCGTCCCGAGTGTGATGGCGGCGATGTGTTCGGCGAGAATGGTGGTCCGTGCTCGCCTGCTTGGCAGGTGCTGGTGGTGGCGGTGGAGCTGCAGCCGGTTGTTGTTGCTGTTGTTGCTGTGGTTGAGAGGTGGGTAGGTCGGTCTGTTTCTGTAGTTCTTGCTGTGTGGGGGTTGTGGTAGCGGATGGTGGCGACGGCGGCTTGTCTGCAGGTTCGGAGGAGGGCTGGTCTGAGGCAGGTTGGTTCGCTTGACTGTGCTGTAGAAGGTGATGGTTGGAGGTCCCCCGTTGCTGTGTGGGGAGATAGTGAGGGGTTCGCAGCTGCTGTGGGCTCTGGTGCAGCAGATGACGTGGTGTAGTTAGCCTGTGCTTGATTTTGCGCCCCGGTGGTGGGGTGAGCAACCGGTGGAAAGATGGAGAATGGTTGCCAGACGCCTTGGCTGTAGTCCTACGGAGGTGGGGCTGTTTGGCCAGTTGGTGATGAAGGGTGCTGAACTTGAGTAGCAGGGTGTGGATGTGGTGGCTGGGGCTGAGGGACCAAGGTCTGGTTGTGATGGTAAAAGTTCTTGCTGGCTGATTGGGAATGGGACCGGGTAGGCCTGGGGATGTGGTACTGGAATGGTGAGTTGTAGTGGTGGCTGAAATTGTGGCAAGGGTGTAGGTTGCCATGTTGGCTGAGGCATGTGAGGTATTGTCGGCATCATGTGTGGTTGAAGGTGAGGTGTAGCAGCGTGTGTCGGGTGTATGGGGATTGTGTGAGCTGTGGGGGTTGGTGGCTGTTGTGGCCAATATGGGTATGGCCAAGGATATTGCATAGCTGTCGGTGACGCCACTCCGAAGGCTCAGACAAAGTCGTAGTAGCCGCGCAATGGCTCCAGCGCGGGGCAGCGGCTATCAATGATGTCTGATGAAAAGGTGAAGTGATTGTGAGATGAAAATTTGTGAAGGTATGATCCACGATGATATGTGAGATGATCCGCAACGCGGTGAACAGTGATCGTGAAAAGATGATAGAAATTGAAATGAACTTGCAATGAAAATGAGGTGAAGTGATATAAATGTGTGAGAATCACGATGGTCACTGTACATCCTTGAAAAGTCCGAGATCAGCTGCGTGACACAGTGCAGAAAGAGCATGAACGCGTCTTGAAACACTCAAATGTGAAACAAACAGCAAAATCAGCAAAATCAATCATGTACTCAGAGATAATCAGTCAGTGTTCTTCCATCGTATTAGCCCGGCGGCTCGATATGCAGTGAATTCAGGGTAGAGAAAGATCAATGAAAGAGGGTCAGTGAAAGAGAGATGATTCAGTGGCTCAATTTCCAGTATGTAAACAGCGCCTCCTTGCGGAGGATCGCACCCAGCACCCACGTGGGACGGCTGAGCGGCTCACACTTCGACATTGGTTTTCAGTTAACTCAATTGCCAGGTCGGAGGAAGGTGGTAGAACCGAAAGGTGGAAAGTCCGAGGAGTTGAAGGTGTTTTAACAAATGTTTCTCGCAAGCTGCAGAACGAAACGGTCTCAAAAACGCGCGGCTCAGCTGCAAGAACGCAATGGAAAGGGTTTGGGGGGTGGTAGCATGAAGGACCATGGAAGCAAACCGATCAAATTGGACAGCTTGTTCAAAAGTTGTAGCAGGTACACAGGGATGATCAGGCCCCGCATCCTGGTCAGCTGCATAGAGCTTCGTTGGCGACAGCTATGCAGTGACCCTGTCGCCCCCTGCGGTTGTCTTCTGGTAGAAAGGACCCTTTGAAACAGGGGTTGACACCCACACACAGAGACCCACACACTACCTCAACTCACTCGACTTAACACTTCACATTGCACACTTAACAGACAACTTGCACTCTGACTTCCTACGTGATGAAAAATGTTTTCGGGCCACTCGTCGTCTAGTTTTCACATATCCATATCTATCAACATCAATTTGTCCTTGCACCGTCCTGTCTACGAGACGTCATTCCTCGTCAGCCACCATGTGCCGTTCGTGTAGCACCCCAAACACCACGTTTTTCCGAACTAGAATGCAACTCCCTGTGCTGACGCAGTGCTACTGAGCCTTACCGCTACGTTTTTGAATAACTTCAATGCAAACCAACTCTTCTGCCGGACCAGGCTCCCCCAAAACCGCCAGCTGCAGCACCTGCCCCGCCGGCACCGATGCTTGGATAGCATTCAGATGTCCTTGTTCCCAGTAGTAATGCCAGGAGCTACTAATGGTTTCTTGCTACTACTGGGAATTGCCTCCAACCTACTAGCGATGGCCTCCACCTAATAGTGTCCTTACTACTATGAGTATGACCATGGCAGTGCCAGGTGGTTTGTCCAATGACATCGATGGCGTACAAAGGGACGATGTCCCGCATAGAGCAGAACAGAACCTCTCCAAGCGCGGCATTTCATGATAAACGGTTTAGGAAGGTCCTGTCCGAGATAAGGACAAAAGTGTCTCAAAGATCTCAAAGCAGTTTGCAGCTTGATACTGTAATCCATTGTATGCGCTGTTCCCGCCCTCTTTCGCTGTTCGCGTTTTCGTGTTTTCGGTGCTTAGTCATTCCACTTTTCAACGGCTTTCAGCCGACCCGTCTCCCTCTGAGCGGGCTGAAGGACTTTACCCAGCGGGACCCAGACGCCTGGCAGCTGGCTTTTGTAGCAGAACGGCTAATGTATATACTCTCCCATATGGAAGAGCGCAACAACATTGAGTTGCCATTCACCGCTTGCCTTCAGGGAACTTCATTTTTACATCTCAGCAGCAAACAGGCGTTGAAAGGAGAGCATCCACCAGGGTTTGCACAGCACCTTTCACAGCACCCTGCGAAGCATTTCAAGAGTGAGTCATCACATTCCACGCCTCTACAACAGAGGTGTGGCCACTAGAGCAAGCATGAAGACGGATGAGGTTTTCCTCAACTAGCACATACTAGAACATCATATCACTGAATTTACTGTAGATTTACTATTAGTGCGTATCAAAGTAAACCAAGTGAACCGATTAGCCTCTCAGTTGCTGTGACATGTGGGTGTTGGGCTCACCACCCGCTATGTTGTCATATAAGACTTGAAATACATTTGGATAGACTGATAGACTTACAAATAGCTTCTTGTTCCTAGTAAGGCCAGGAGCCCCTAGTAGCGTCCTTGCTCCTAGTAGCGATGCCAAGAGCCCCTAATAGCGTCCTTGCGCCCAGTAGCGGTGCCAGGAGCCCCAAATAGCGTCCTTGCTCCTAGTAGCGATGCCAGGAGCCCGTAATGGCGCCCTTGCTCCTAGTAGCGATGCCAGGAGCCCCTAGTAGCGTCCTTGCTCCTAGTAGCCAAGCCAGGAGCCCAGCGTCCGTGCTCCTAGTAGCGACAGCGGCCTCGCTCCTACTCGTAGGAGCTCCTAGTAGCGATGCCAGGAGCCGCTAATAGTGTCCTTGCTCCTAGTGGCGATGCCAGAAGCCCCTAATAGCATCCTAGTAGCGATGCCAGGAGCCCCCAATAGCGTCCTTGCTCCTAGTAGCGCCAGGAGCCGCAAATAGCGTCCTTTCTCCTAGTAGCGATGCCAGGAGCCCCTAATAGCATCCTAGTAGCGATGCCAGGAGCCGCTAATAGCGTCCTTGCTCCTAGTAGGGATGCCAGGAGCCCCTAATAGCATCCTAGCAGCGTTGCCAGGCCCCAAATAGCGTCCTACCTCCCAGTAGCGATGCCAGGAGCCCCTAATAGCGCCCTTGCTCCTAGTAGCGATGCCAGGAGCATCCTAGTAGCGATGCCAGGTGCCCGTAATAGCGTCCTTGTTCCTGGTAGCGATGCCAGGAGCTCCTAATAGCACCCTAGTAGCGATGCCAGGAGCCGCTAATAGCGCCCTTGCTCCTAGTAGCGATGCCAGGAGCCCCTAATAGCATCCTAGCAGCGAGGAGCCCTTAATAGCATCCCAGTAGCCACGAGCCCCCAATAGCGTCCCCTAATAGCATCCTTGCTCCTAGTAGCGATGCCAGCTAGCAGCGATGCCAGGAGCCCCTCATAGCGTCCTTGCTCCTAGCAGCGATGCCAGGAGCCCCTAATAGCGT